GTCAAAAAAAAAAAAGTTCTTTAAGATTCTGTGAAGAATTTTCCTTTTAGCGCGCTTGAAAAAAGAGGGGGAAAGGACAGCATTTGACATCCTGCTTTGGCAGGAAAACACACACGCACACACGTTCGGGATTTTTTTTTTTTTTCCTAAAGACTCCTTTTATTTCACACTTTTTTTTTTTTTTTTTTTTTTTTTTTTTTTCGGTAAAGTTCCCCGGCCCCCTGCCTCTCCCTCCCCTCATTCGCCGGGCAGGAGCCGTGCCCTGCCTTCTGCCGGGCGCGGAGCGGAGCGGGCTCAGGTGTAGTAAAACAATTGCGGGTTTGGGGATGAAAAAAAAATAAATAATAAAGAAAAAAAGAGCCACAGCTCAGCCCAAAGCGATGCTCGCCCAGGTGCCGGTGCCCGCGGCACGGGCGGAGCGGCCGCCCCCGGCCCTTCCTTGCCCCCACTCCCGGAGCCCCCCGGCAGCGAGCAAGGCACGGGAAGATGCCCAAATGTCCCCCCCCGGCTGTATTAAGGTGAGTGGTGGCGGTGCCGGGCGCAGGGCTGCAGCCACTTGAGCAGCCTCAGCCGGGGGCTTTGCTTTGGCCGGACACAGAAGCGGGGGTCGGGGTGTCCCCCCAGCCGGGCGCGGCCACCCCCGGTGGCAGCAGCCTGTCCTCGCCCCGCTGCTCCTCCCTCTGCCCTCCCCTTCCCGGCTAACGGGGAGCATCGCTGCGAGAAGGGGGAGACAGCCGAGGAGCCCGAGGGGGGCTCAGAGGGGTCCCCTCCTCTTCTTCTTCCTCCTGCTCCTCTTCCTCTTCCTCCATCCCCAGGCAGAGGCCAGGCTCGCAGCACACGGGACTCCCTGGCTTAATTAAGGGCAGGGGAAGCAGAAGGGGTCACCAGCCCAAATCCCCGTGTGCAGGCCTTCCGGAGCCCCATAGGGTTACGGCTGTGCTCCATGAGGTTAACCCAAGCGAAGCCTCTGAAACGCTTCTTCAGGTGCCGCTCCAATTCCTATTCTGTGACGCGTGGCCCAGGCGACAGTGGCTGTTTTGGGGCTGTTTGGATAAGTGGGAAGCTTTTTGGGATAACCACTTACCCGCCTAGGACTTTAGATAACTTCTAGACCAATCAAAGACTCAGTGGTGAAATTTGGACTTTGCGTGATGCATGAATTGCAGCTCCCATAGGGATGCGGTGCCCAGGCAGGGATTTTCTCCCTCAGTCCTATCATCCTACTCTCACCTCCAGAACACAAGAGCTTTCCGCCACCCCTCACAAAACAGATGCCATTGCCTGATGTGACAACCTCACCGGCAGCGAGAGCCACCTATACGTGCTCCTGCCCCCTTTGGTCTCTGGGAACAGACCTAGGAGATACGGGATTGAAACTCACAGACTGTGCATAACACACGCACTGGTAGCTACAACGCTGATAGCTAACAGCTAGGAGATTTTGAGATTTTAGCTCCTCTCCTGCTGCTGGGTGACAGCCTGGTGCCTCGTCCATCCATAAGTCCCAGAGTGCCTGGGACCACTGGCAGCACTGACACAGAGCGGAGCTGGCTCCCTCGCTCCCACACAGGTGGGAAGGTGGGGAAAATAAGGGTATGCAGACCTTGAGGGGAAGCAGCAGTGGTCCTTATGCACCGATGGCTTCAGTGACAAAGTCCCACGTGGCAGCGGAGACTCCTGAAGGCCATCGTTTTGTGTTTGAATACAAGAAAAATGAAAACATGAAGGAAAAGCAAAGACAGTCTTGAGATGAGCTTTATTTTGGACAGAAAAGGTACATCTCATGCTTCCCAGCAATAGCTCTGCCAACCAGCAGGCTTGAAATAGCTAGTTACCTGTAAGAGGTGGCAGGATGAAACCTGAGGGCAAAGCGCAGCCTCATGTGCCACGCTGGCTCCTAACAGATTTTGAGGGGGACGAGGCAGGCCCTCCCTGCCATGCAAGCAGAGCATTTGCCACCACACCGCAGGTTGTGTGCTAACGAGGCAGCGATCCCTCTTCAGCCAGGGCCAGCTCGCTGCAACCCCACGGGCTCTGCAGCCAAGCGAATCACCCATCGCCGCTCCTCTCTGCTTCTTCCAAAGGCATTTATTCATTTCTAACAACGACCTGGCATATTCTGCTCTTTAGGTGTCAGGACTCCGGGTCTGCACCATCACGGCTATACCGAAATGAGTATTTAGAGAGGCTTAATCCCCGTTCAAACCAACCGGCAAAGCTGCAGTTCGCCAGGGCAGGGATGGACCGAGGTAAGGTTTCTGACACACGAAGCTGCTGTGACTTCGCTGTAATTAACCACCAAGGAAGCTGGCTCTGCGCTGAAGGCACGGGCACACGCTGCAGCACTGCGTGCAGAGGGGACAGCTGCACACGCACGTAAGGAAAATCTCTCCAGGACCAAAATTGCCCTGTGGAAAAGGGCAGGGAAGTGACCAGATAATAGCACTGAGTGCACATCTCCAGAACAGAGACCTGAAAACAAGAAATAGAGCCCCAGGCACCCCAAGGGGACAAGGCGGTGAGCGAGGAGCGGATGCTCTCTCTCCCCCTGTCACTTCACTAATGAAAACAGGGTGACAGGAACACCAGCAGACCCTGCTGCTTCTCAGGTTAAGCTACAGCACTGCCTCGTCCCTCACCACTTCGAGGAGCAATGCAAACAGACTGCAGGGAGCTTGTCACCACTCGCTTGTCTTCTAGGGGTCAGCAGAGGCTACAAATAGAGGGGCTGGAGGCACAAGTGCATGGGAATCGAGCAACGAGGAAGGCACAGAGATCAGACACCCACAGCTCCAGATGAGGAAATATCTTAAAAGTGTTTGTCGGTGCTGCTCACCTTTGTGCCTTGCACAATACCCTCCCCCATTGCCTTTCTATGAAAAAGGAGCAATGCAGCCCCGCCACCCTGAACTCGCTGGGTTCTCCAAACCAAGCCCGGCGCTCTCTGCACGACTTTGACGCAGCATCATCCGAATGCACGGATTAAAACCGCCCTGACCCCCCTGGAGCTGATGCAGCTCGTGTAGTCTGTCGCAGGACCGCGCATCTGAGCTGCGGGTAGCGTTGCCATATGCAGTGTAAGGAACCTTCCATATGGTTTCTGAAAAGTGGTTACAGCACACGTGCACCAGGCACTTTTCAAAGTAAAACAGATCTGTTCATTTTTATTTTCAAAATACCAAAGCAGTAAAATCATGTAATTGAGTAATCACTTGCCAAATTTCCTTTTTTAATCTAATCTATTTTGAGTTACATCAGAGCCAAAATGCAAATTAAACTGGTAACGTTCCAAGATTTTTTTTTTCCCTTTCAGAAAACACAATTTAAGGTACTCATAAGTAAGGAAATTTTAAAAACCATTTGTTTTGTATGCTGTAAACTCTGGAAAACAAGTTCCAGCCTGAAGTAAATTTTCATAGGTAATAGGTTAAATAGAAGGCTTATGTAAATTTTGATCTCATCCTAACAGCTCCATTTTACAAAATTTGATTTGAAAATAATTCCACGGGTTAAAGGAAGCCTCGCATGGTCAGAAAGGAGGCAAAAAGTACCCACTCTAACAGCACAGATGTACGTTCTTTCAGCTCTGACCTGCTGTATTGAAGAAGAGATTCCTGAGATTGCTCATTTGCAGCCTTCCTCGGTCATTTTTCTTGCTGTTGCAGCATTAAAAGCCAAACTAACTAACCAGCCTGGGCGCATGCTTCAGTACTTGACTGCAAGGTAAGAAAGATCCTCTCCATCCTATCGGAGCCGCATGAAGAGCTGCATCTCAGCAGATGGATGGATAGAAGTAGCCTTCAAGAGTACCTGGTGCTGCAAACCACGGCTCTTTGGGTTGCAGTTGCTCAGATGAAGTCTCTCCCTACGTGCAGGGCAGACCTTGTGGAAAGCTGTGTGATCTTCTTGGTTGCCTTCCACCCCAATGCTGCCACCTGTTGAAAAAACTGGCAGCCACTCAAGTGGTGGCTGTTTTCATGTTGCTTGCCTCTTCTTCCCTCAAAACTGCTTCAAACCGGGGGCTGCTTGTGACACCTCCTGGCCCCTTTTGTAGGGCTGCAGAGACCCTGCTCATCTGAAAGTACTGTAAAGCGGCAGAATTGTTCTCCCATTACTGAAAAAAAAACCAAAAAAAACCAAAAACCAACCCATCCCCAAAACAACCCGACACTACTCTTGAAGAGGCTTTAAGGGAAAGAAGAGGCCAGTTCTTAGCACGCAGAACCTAGCAGAAGACAAGCACGAGATAGAGTTGGGAGTCACTAGGCTATGGTTTGCAGAAGACTGACTGACCTTGCAGCTGCCCTTCCAAAGGGGATCGTGCCCCTCTTCAACCTGCCCGCTCTACCCCATCCCCTGCAGTGCCGCTGGTGCTCAAAAAATCCCCGTGAGCTGGTTCAGTGCGCTAAAACCATGGAGAACGAATCTGATTTTTCTTGCTGCTGCTGCTACAGGCTGAGTTTTCTATCAGTTTAACTCCTTGACTCCAACTCCCTTAAGCTGGGAGGTGACAGCCAGTGCCACTGCAAGGGAAGCAACAGCAGCACGCAGCCAGGGGACAGGGACACTCTTTTTGGCAGCAAACAGCCCAAATCAGCTGCAATGTCAAACCACACCCTCAGGTCTCTGATGGCTAGAGAGACCAAAGGCACTGGTGGAGAGGGCAAAGGAGAGACAGGAAAAGCGTGAAATCAAAACAGACCAAGGATAAAGAGAATACGCATACTAGATGCAAAGTAGGGGCTGGACTGTGAGTGTTGATCGTGGGAACAGATGGAGAGATAGAGAGAGAAATGACACCCATTACGCTCAAAATCATATGTGCGAGAGAGGGGGGAAAGGGGAGGAACAGAGAGCGTGCGGTGGGAGAGGTGGGATTCTGACAGACAGCGACAGGACCTGTTGGAAAGAACGGTTTAAGAAAAATTAGAATCAAAACTTACTGCTCAAAATCACAGCCTAGTGGCTTTTCAGTGTGGTTAAAGAACGATCCTTTGAAAAATAGCTTAATATTTTCTTTTAATGTTTGACATTTGCAAGGATCACCTGCCCCTTGTACATTGCATAGTCACACAAAAAGAGTTACAAGGTACAACATAACAATCGGTTTTAGCCAGCCCAGCCAACATTTATAGCAATCTGTAAAAAGTGTCGAGTAGAGGCATGGCATCACACAGAATAAACCAGAACCAAATTGGATCAAACAGTCTTCCAGTTCTGTAGAGGACGGAGATGCAAACAAAAAGATTTTGATACCTCTGTGGCTCTCCATTAGCACTGGAACCAGAAAGGAATATTTATTAGGTCTGACTATAAATGTTTGTCTTGTGTGGGAGGTCTTAGTATAGTAATATGTATTAGAAACTTGATATTTTTCCAATCAAGCCTTTCCACTTCCATTTACATATATTTAATTGTAAATATTCATTTTTCCTACCTGAAGCACTTTAAATAAAAGCACAATCAACATACCCTACACGGAATGGGAGCGAATAGCTTAGGGGATGAGCTGGAGCATTGTTCCAACCTCTACATCACTGGTTCCAATCCAGCCCGGGTCGGGAGCCATGCAAGATTACCACTCCTCGCAGCGTGTGGGGGGTCTCGGAGGCTGAATTGCTGATCTCACTCTCATTCCTCCTGAACAACGATCCTCCCCCCAACCAATAAATCAGAATTGACACTAACTGGCATCTGTGCCAGTAGAAAAGGCGATGACTGGCAAGGAAACGTCCTCTCATGCACTGAAGTGAATTTCTTCAGAGTGCAAACAACTTCGGTTTGCAATCTTGTCCATGTATACTTATCTTTTCCAAGCACCGAAACTCACAGACAATGGAATTAGTATACCCTCTCTCTGCAACTTTATTTAAAACAGAACCACGCGACGCACAAAAACTAACAAGTACGAAGCTGCCATTCAGCCCCAGCTAAATAGTTGTGCTCAGCACGGCCAGCAGCTGGTAGCGCTGCCTTTGCACGCAGCGTGTTTCTCTCTCTTTGCAGCGGGCGAGGTGGCAGGGAGTCTGCAAGCTGGCTACAGCCCTCCCGCTGAGAGCTCCCCGGGTCCACGACTGCTTTCAGCTGGCACAAAACCATGCCATTTGTGTGCTGGGGCTACGGGCATGCTGAAGGAGTGCTTTTGTCCACTGCTGTCATCTGGTGTGTAGCTGAGGTGGGTGCATCATGAGTTGCTCAGATCAGCCAGAGCCGCAGTTTGGCGACGCAAAACTTTTTTTTTTTTTTTGGGGGGGGTGTGCGTGTGTGATGGAAAGCACGTTTTAGAAAAAAGAGAAAGCTTTTCTGGCAGGATGCACTGATTGAAGACAACTAAAAGAAGCCTGGAAGCTATTCTCCTAAGATGAGGTTATGAAACCAAAACGGTTAAATGGGTCAATATGTGAATAAGCATGAAAAAAAACAACAAGGTTTCATCAATTGGTCTCGTTAAAAATGTATGTTAGTTAGGAAGCAGGGAGAATTTCACATATTCAAACCGTTCTTCAGGCAGTAAACTTCAAGCCAGAGTTTAGGTAAGCAAGAAGTTTTGTAAATAGGTCATATTTGAAGACTCCAGCCACCCCACACCCATGGGTATCACGTACCGAATTAACTGACTTCTTGAGTATTAGCACAGTCATCCTGACCCACTGCTACAGCATGCGTTAGTGATTTAATAACAGAACACCGGTGGATGTTGGTTATGAAGGAACGCTAACAGACCTGAGCAGAAACGCATGTCCGTGGTACAGCTTACCATGAGAAAGTGATACTTAATTGCTACAGTTACATTAATAGTAAAATCAGAATTTTATTTTCAAATCATTGGATTCAATGCCAGACTAAGAGGATAATGTTACCTGTTGACTTACGGGGCAATCTGGAAAAGATTAAGAGACAACATCTGATGCTTTGTATTTATACCCAGATGAACTATGAATTCTGAATTCATTTTATGAATTGTTGTAGGGTATACTTAAAAGGTGAAATTAAGATATCATTTACCTTAACACTGGCAGACTGAAGTCAGAGGGACTACAGGAAGTAAGAAAGTACTTCTGGAGAATGAAATAAATAGAGTGCCTATTCTGAAAGTCACATGCAATTTTTCTGCATAGGTTAAAACTTTTATCATGACAGATCATAAACTATAAAGTAGCTCTTGTGTCTATCAGAAAATTCTATTTTGTGTGTGAATTTCATGTCTTATACATGAGGACAGATAGAACTCTTCTACTGCATTATTGGAGACTTATCAAAAACAGGATGCTTTTTTCTTGAGAAGATGAAAAGTACAGAGATAAGCAGGGAAATAAAGACTGAAGTTTTAACCAATAATATTTTTGTGTGGTTATCAGAGGAATGTAATAATTAATCTTTTAATCACTCTGAAGATTGTGTGAAATCATAATATCTCATCTTTTCCAGCCTCAACCTGCCATTCTTGATCTGAATTACAAACAATAAGAAAGGAGATGATTTAATGAGCAACTTTGTCATGTTGCCATTTTGCCTTAGTCAAAGGCAAATGTCTACTTTCTCCTCTAAACTGAAATGGAATAGACTTATGTTTCAACTATGCTCACAGCTGAGGCAAACACGCATGGAAAAGTTAGGGTTATTTTAAAGCTAGAACCCTGGTGTCTTCACATTTTCAAAAAGGCATAATTAAATACATACTATTAAGAAGAAACAAACATTTGTTTACTAGGAAATAAAATCGGCGTCGTGAAGAAACACACTTGTATGGCGAGAAATCTAAAATATGAAAAATAATAAAGTAAATCCCAAGAGAACGATTGCAGTCACAATGGTAATAGGTATGTTCTTATTACGAAGGAAAAAATGTCAGCACGATTTCATCATACTCAATAAATAGGCACTTCAATAAAGTATATATTTACACTGGCTTTCTGAATGCTAGGGCATCACAAAGTAGTATGGCTTTATTACAATGGATGGAAGATGGCAACTACTTAGAACCCAGTGCCAACATGGATTATAACAAATCCAGTGAGTATTTTGTTTTTCAATTATTCATAGAAAATTTAATCCTGATTAAGTATCCTTGGGCAGGAATTCATGGGTAGTTGATGACTGAAACCAACATTTATTTGAAATGCTTCTGTTAATTTAATCTGTGTATATGGCTTAATTATGATTGAATCCTCAATGTAAGAGAAATGAATTATATCAGGATTAAAATTCTAGTACCACATCACCCATTCCATTTTCTTTGCCTTTTTTTTTTTTTGCGAGCCTGCTGTTTTAATTACCTTTATGTTACTATATCTTCTAAGCCTCAAATATTGTTTAGAACTTTACTGGGTGAGATTTTTAAAAAGGAAAATATAAACTCTATTTCCATTCCCATTACAATTCTAACCAATATGAACAGTAATTGCAAAAAATGCTTTTCTTTTACACCAATACTAAAGAAAAATTTCCCACGGTTAGTTGTAAACATTTATATACGTTCTTAGTGGACTCTCCCTCTTTTGTTTCCCCTTTTATCCCTATACATAAAATGTATTTTTTTCTAAAGCACAAAAATAAAAGAACTTGTATTCGTTGTTATGCATCACACCAATTTCACAATTGGCCTATTTCAGACTTGTTGGAGCTTGTCGACATTTTAAGAACTGCATTTTATAAGACCTTCAAACTTAGTATTGATACAAAGCAGGGATATTTTTTGTGGCTGTGAATGGGAGAGAAAAGAATTATTGTACTTTTCTGTGACATGGCTCAGCACCATGTGCTACCCACAAACCATCTTCAGGAAATGATTCAAATTATGGATTTTTCCCACTCAGCAATACTTGAAACAGATTAATCTAAGGACTGTGTCAGACCAAAGGTCCGTGAAGTGCTCTGGATATCACCAACCGGTTTTCCAGTGAAACCAATGTATCACATACCTGTGACATAAATACCTGTATGTTTGGGTCATTATTGCACATTTATTACATAACGTATTCTTCCTAAACATCTCAGAAGTGATGTCGATTTTTATGTCCAGAGGATACTGTTAGTGGCAATGTCACTGATGATAATGAAGACACTTCCCAATATAGACTATGAGAGAGAAAAAGTCTGTAGAGGATAACCATGGAGATGCTCTGACAGAGGATAACACCTATGGTAATAATCTAAAGACAAAAAAAAACAAAGAAGGGAAAAAGTAAGTGAGAAACAAACCCAAGTACATTTCTACCAGCACACTATGTAAGTGCTTGAAGTTTAACTTTAAACCTTTTAATGTTGCTGCAGTTACAAAAGATTTGAATGTGAACCTCAGGTCCAGGATTCATGCTCTCACACCTGGATGTTTTTGAATCTGTAGATAGCCCTGGGCAAGTCACATAACCCCTTCTGGCAGTCTCTGTTCTGGGGAATTTCAGGCTTGCAATTCACCACCCATGCAGTTCCACAAGCAGAGGTGATGTTTAGATATTCTATTCTTACAACAAACAGAGATGAATAAAAAAAAAAAGCCTGAAAACACTTTGCACTAGCACAGTCATGGAGCTCTGATGGTAGTCATTTATCAGTCTCACTTAGACCTCTTTTCAGAGCAAGCCTCTTGATCTGTAGAAGATGTATAAGGCAGTTCTTATCAAACTCATAAAGGTAACTACTGTTTCTGAGCAAGCAGAAGTCTGAATTGAGGTACAGAGGCTCTTTTCAAATACACATTGTTCTTCCATAAATATGGTATTCATTGATCATGTATTCCTTTATTATATTTAAGTGCATTTAAATAAGAAAAAACACAGCTAAATTGTCATAAGGTAGGAACTGGAGCTGCACACAATGGTTAAACTTTCTCAAAATTCAAGAGCAGAGCAACTGTAACCTCCCTTCAGTAAACTCAAACTCTCAAAATATTGCAAAATTTCCTGTACTGGTCCTAATTCTAAAGATTGCCCATCCTACCCCAATGATATTTTCATCAAGAAACTACTAACAAAGAGACTTTTTGTTGATCTAAAGGAGTTCTTTTCTCCTCACAGGTTTAATTCTTTACACACACAAAAAAAATTCAAACACAGTATTTCAGGTACTATATTTTTAGTAGAATGTTTTCCCCCCTCATATATTCCCTGCACAAATAAAAGCTTATTTTTTTTCTGAAAATATTTGCATACAAATGCACAGATGGTTATAACCATAAAGAAAAGCAGCAAACTCTACCCTGGAATGAAGTAGTCAATCACCCGAGAATAGACGTGCACTTTATCTGAACATGGCAGGCTCCACACACTAGTTCTCCAGTTTCCAATATGTTTAAGCAACCGAGAAACCCAATGAGTCCACTTTTGTTTTTAACTGTTTAGAGCTTACAAACCAAACTACACATTTGGATAGATCTCTTAATCTAAAGAATACAGTTCAGCTACAGGTTCCCTGACCTATTTAGCCACATAAAGCTTTTAAATGCTGAAGACTAAAAAGCAAACAAAAAAAAATCCACTGATTTATCTTTCTACTAGCTTTGTTAAAAGAATCCCCAAGGTGTTTTTAATTAAAAAGCAAACAAGCAAACAATAAAACAAAACACCCCCTCCACATTTTCCTTTGACTTAACCATCTCCCCACCCCCCCTTAGTCTAGAAACGATTACCCTTAGATGATTCAAACCCAGTATGCCTTTGTAAAATATGACTCACATTAGCATCAATAAGAGCTGTGTGACTAAGACTTTTCAAGTTGCTTTGGGGTCATAAGATTAACAGCCTAAGAGCATGAGTTTGCTAACAAACAGTGAACATGAAGAACAACTACTATTCAAATTCCATCTCTTTTATCTTGCCTGTACATACCTTTTCTCTTTGATATTCTCTGAATATTACAGAAACGGTTGCAAGACATGGGTGGCACAAAAACCAGAGAATGCAGGCCTGAAAGAGAAGAAGAGTATAAGTTATAAAATAACTATACGCCAACTAAGAAGAAAGAGATGACAGTTAGAGGAACTGCATTTACATTTCTGTCTTTTTTATGAATCCATTGTTTAATTTTCAATCAACAGAGTGAAAACCACACAATGAAAGGTGGGATTTCTGTTTAAAAAAGCTCTATACTCCTTGTCAAATTAAAATGACTGCTCAGAGTATGATGACAGAGTGCAATTTAATCAAATCAGACACTTAAATATTAACTTTCATATGGAGGAAAACAGTTTAGTGCTTCAGCCGACTGCGTGCCACAATTACTTTTACAGCAAAAGGGATCAACTTCTATGATGTAACCCATACTTTGGCAAAGGTGATATAGAATTCCCTTTTCAGCGTGCTTCTCTCCACTGTGATGATCTGGTAAAGACCCGCAGCCAGCGACAAAGCTAGGCAAACTCTGAGGCCAATAAGCAGTCCACTTGCTAAGCCATGATGTGAATGGTAGCTGTGGTGATTAGTATCTTCAAACTGTTCCCAAATTAATAAAAGGCTCTGGAAAAGAACAACAGCAATGTACATTTAGAAAAAACGAGGTTACATTAAATGCCGATTACCCTTCCCATGACAGATCAAATTATCAGCACAACTGGTCATGCTCTGCTCGTTGGAGACTGCCATGTTACAGAAAATAACCCACAACCTAGGCTGAGTTGCTGCTTTGGCACTACCTATTACTCCAAATGTGACTGGCAGGAACAGGGTTTCATTTGTTGCATTCGGTAACTTTTAGAAAGTTTGACAAGTTAAAGTTTCCTCTCATTTGGGTAGAAGGAATGCAGCATTTTAGCATAAGTTCCAAAATAGTCATGTAGTTAAACAGGCAGCCTACTCAGCAGGAAGCCCACTGAAACGATTCCACTGAGCTACAGGGAGGTGTCTCCTTCCACTTGGGATCCACAACCTGTAAAGCTTGTTTCAAAGGCAGGCGACTACGCCTTTTCTTTCAAAATCCTAACAGGATTCACTTTTCCTTTTAAAGATGGGGAAGTAAGAGGGTGGTGCTGCTGCCCCTTTTATACAATAGCCTGAGGGCTAGAGCATTCACCCAGGTTGAACTTAGATCTCCCACAATTCCCGTCTTTGCCTAAAGGATATCCAGCTCACATCTCCCACCTCCTTGGAGAGAGCCCTAGCTGCCAGGCTATAGGCTGTTCTTGGGTGGGCCACTCTCCACCTCTTCTATTGAAGCCGTGCCATCGTGGAGAAAAGAATTCAGAATCAGCTAGGTCAGAAACCGTGAGCGAGCTTGACTCTGCAAGCAACTGGCTTGGAAACCTCCTAGGGACTACGAAAGGCAGCGTCACAGGTTCCAAATGCTGTTGCAACACCTGGACAAGCACTCCAGCCAACAGATAATACACAGAAGATCGTAATCCTCCTTAACTCCCAGAAAAATTGCATCGTCTTCTCTTGCTGTAGAACTCGGTGCTGCAGGAGGACTGTGAGAAAGAGTATTGACAAATTTTCTAAAGAAAAACAGACTAAGAGATGCCTATTTTCCGAATCTTAAGTTGAATAGAAAGCAGGCGCCTACTTGTAGAGTTGCATGAAAGTTGGGTCTTGCCGAATAAAACCTTTTCAAGAGTAACATTACAAATTAGAATACTCATAAAGTTTAGACTCCCAGAAGCATGTAGCAGATGAGTGGCATTTGAAGAACTGAATATACACTGGAATCCAGTCCACCTACTGCAGACATCTAACTTGCACTTAGGTTTCAGGTGTCTAATAAAGCAGGCTTTCTGAAGAAAGGTAGTCAAATTTGATTTATATGAGCAAAGTAGCGCTAAAGGCCTTCAGAAGGAGACATTGTATGCCTCAATTTAGAAATCTAAATTAGTCAGATTCCTTTCTGAGCAAATTCAAAGGCTCTCTAATTACATTAATATCATAAAGACAGAAAGGTTACTGATATAAACCTTTTTTTAAATGTGTAATCCACCTGTGCATTCCAAAGGTGGGTGTCCTTGAGTCTCATCAGTTGAGACTAAATTTTTTTCACTTGGAATATCCTTTGAGAGTACTCTCTCCCTTTTTCCTTCCCTTACTCGAGCCATGACACAGTGAGCATGACTGCTGCCACTTCAGTTACTTCTCAACCACCTGGATAGAAAATGAAAGGATGGGAGAGAGAGAAGTGTGAAGCACACATCCTGAACGTCACGGATTAGTAGTAAACCATCCAGCCAGCTTCTTCAAACACTGCCACTATAACGCTCTGTTTCTGGGCAGCTCCAAGCAAACACCTTACAACTGATCAAATTATTTGACTGAGAATCCTCTCAAGGACTATGACTGAAATAAGACTGAACTACTTCTGAAACCTTAAGATAGAGCACAGTGTTTGGTGGAGTTGTGGCTAAAACACTAGTTTTGGTCTGAAAGTGATGAATTCCCAATGCAGAGGCTATTTCAGCTCAGGTAGAGTGTATCCAGGCAACAACAAGGGTTTTACCAGTTGGAAAATCACTGCATTCTCCTACAGAGTATTTTGGTTTTTTGTAATTTAGGCATGGGAAGAGGCAGTCCTGGACTGGACATACACTCTCCGAGAATATTAAAAAACAACAACAAAAAAACATAATCTCAGGAATCTTCCTGAGACTACCATGCAGCTGGGGCTGAAGAGATACAGACTGACAGATGAAGGTATGATAACACTTAAAGAAGAAATTTTAGGTAGACGCAGGGCTACCTCAACCTTAAAGAACAGAGCTCATGAGGGTTTGAATTTTTCTTAACCTACCACCAAAAGCAACAGCAAGGAAGGAAGCCACTTTCATGAGAAGATGACAAAGAGCTGGAGTAAAGGAATCATGAGAACAAAGTCCAAATCCTAATGGGAAAACAGCGTCTGAAAGCATGGTATGCTCTGGACGAGCCCTTTAAAGAATGTAAATTGTACAGACAACCCAGAAATCAGTTGAATAAAGACTGTAGTGACAGCAACGTAAGATCACACAAGTCCAGCTTCCTTCAGCTTCACTAGGTTACTACAAGAAGCAGAAGGCAGAAGCATCAGAGGCAGAAATGGACCTGTCAGTGCAACACATGAGAAACCTGGAGAAGGTGAACACGTGTCACTGCTCTTCCTGTGAGCTGGAACTGTCCTCACTCACTGGAGAGAAGCAGTATTCTATAAAAAAGAAATCTGTGCTGTGGAGTGTTTCTAGGTTACAACAGATGAGGCAATCTCAGTGAAGGGAGAGCTCTCACTGACAAACTTGTTCTTGAAGTCAAAATCTCACTGGTTGGCCATGCCTGAGGAATTAAGGTCAATGAGCCCTGACGTCCCTCACCTTATCCACAGAAAGACACGTATCTACTCACTTAGCTGTGATATCAGGAGTAAGCTGAAAGAACACCCAGACACCAACAAGCTCAAGCTGAAACTGGACGCATTTTTTGGTTACTGTTGAGCAGAACTACGTTTCAGCTCTGGGAAGAAATCAGGGTGAATATCCTAATGGTTATCCAGCAGAGCAACTGTTGCTCAGGCTGTCTACGAAAGAACTGGATGAGCTGGGTAGGTGCACAGCTGAAGAGCTGACTCACACTAGCTATGTCCAACATTAAAGTCCAACTGCTTCTCCATTAAATAAAGGCGAATGACCATCTCCGTGTTTACATCATGCACTGTTCGAAATGCCTGACAGCACCTGTACATAGTTCTGACTTATCTTGGTTCTCCAGTGGACACCACTGCCCAGTCCTGGTCTCCCTCAAGCTGCTGGGAAAACTTTGCTCTGGTCATCATCTCGATGTTCCAGTTATACAAGTCGGACCTCCACATCTGCACAACGAAGAACCAGACAGTTGTCTCTTTTGTCAGAAGGAAACAATTACGGTAGAACCCCTTCTCCTCCTTGCTGTGCCAACACTGACTGTACGGCAAGATAACATATCAATCTCCAGCAAGAGCAGGTTCACATGGGACTGATCATCACAGAGAGATAAGGGGAAGGGGGAAGCAAAAGGGAAATGAGAAGTGGCAGCAAGGCAAGGCAGATCAACCAGCTGCTTCAAACTGTATCTAGTACTTGGGTATCCGGTGTCATGAACTTCAGCACAGCAAAACATGTTTCAGATCTGAGGTCAGAGGCAGAGTTCATTCAGAGCACACCTTTCGGGACATAGCTAAGAACCTCTGTGAAGCACGGCTTCTCACGCATTAAGATTCAGTATGCATTTTGATCACAGCCCTGAAAGCTGAAACTGTTCAGATCTATGTGATAGGAAAGGCTTGTCGTCACTAAGAAGTTTTGAACAAGGTTTGTGCCTCAGCAGCAAAGAGTGGAATCTTTAATGAATGCGGAGTGGCCAGGAATCTTTTGTTCTGAGGATGAACAAACACACACCCACACAAAAAAAAGAACAAGTTAACCCAAGGGGAGACGATAAATGGCAGGCTTGTCCCTCCCTTTGAGATGCTACCTTTTCACAGCCACAGTGACCACAAGAGATTTGCTGGCTAGGTGGCAATGTCCACCCTACACCGATGGCAACCTGTAAGCACAGCCCAGGAAATTGCTGGTGTTTGTGAAAGAACAAAAGGCAAGAATTAATACCGTCAATACAAATAGGAAAAAAAAAAAAAAAAAAGCAAGCAATGCTGAGTAATTTGAACTAACAGTTTGCCAGCCAAAAATGCTTATAAATTTAGGAACAAAATGGTTTCCCAGGCTGTCTACTTGCTTGACCTCCCTGGTGATGAGATGAGAGCAGGTAGTGTAGAATGTCAATAAAACTAACGCGGTTCAATCTCTATCTGCTGCTTTAAGGTAACACAGGTGGTTTCCAGTACCCTCCACAACAACCCCTAGAACACCTCTGATGACCCACGTAAGTCTGTCCAGTCTCTGAATAGGGAGAAGCTAGCTCTCCCATAAGACATTTTGGGAAAGAGCAGGCTGGAAAGGCATGTTATTCTAGGTTTTTATCATAAAAGTGATCATGTTACAGCAGGTATGATGCCCACATCAATCTAGACCAATGAACAATAGACTAATCCAGAGAATGAAATCTTGAGGCCACCACCTTTGATGTGGCCTGGGATCTGCTCCCCTGAGTTCAACAACCACATTTGCTATTAAGGGGAGGAAAACTAGCAGAAATTTCTGTGCACTGAATTGTGTGATGATGAACACCTTCTCTAGAAAGGCCAAGGGTACTGTTGGTGCCAGGGAAACTTTGCTGGAGTCAGCAGACAATGAGGTGGACTGCAGAACCACCCAGACAATGACATACTCTGACATCCATACTCTGTTCCTACAAGGCTCCTTCCAAACATGATATTCCCAATGGTACTGAGAAGGGAGATGTGGTAGAGATGTACCTGCACGGTGACAAGTAAGACAGCCAACTTTGTACTAATCCTCCAGTGGTGCCCAAATAGCCAATGTAAATATATCATGGACCAGTACTGAAAGCAGAATATATATATGATGCCTGCCCCATTTTTTACCACAACTAAAAAAAGATGAAGCTGATGATACTGAGTGCCCTTTCTATGTATAGTAAAAAGGAAACAACAACAAAACTTTCCAGTCTCAAGTGACAGAGCACTAACACACCCATATGCATGTACCAGTGGAGAAGCATGAATAAAATTAAATACTTTAGAAGTCTTCTTTACTACCAGCATGTAAAATTTCTGGTGCTAGACGGGTGTCAAAGTACGGTGGAATGAACCTATCTTTAAATTTCAACAGTCCCATTGACCTTAATAGGCTTTGGTTTATATTCTTAATTAGCAAGAATACTGTCAGCTCCCAGCTACTCTTAATGTTTTAGCAGTCCACTTATTTAGTTTGGAAGCAACACTAATTACAGACATTACTCAAATGGCACAAAATCTTTAGTATAATCTCTTCCTCATTACTGTCTCCAGTTTCTCCCTGTTCTTCTCATTCTCAGTGGCTTTCAAATCCTCTTGTCTTTATGCTGGGATTTAAAAACATTTGTTTACAAAAGACACCACCAGGGTTGGATGATCTCCATTACAATTTACTTTTAAGTTACTGGTTTACTTGACTTTCTAATTTATATTAATAGAAAATATTTGAATGAAATTATGTGTCAGACCATTTGTTTATTTGCAAGAACAATTCTGCACATGAACCTTTCAAGAATTGCCTTTTATTGATTGAAAAGACCATTACACATTCTGTTTGAGTGGTTCTAAGAAAAGGACGGAGTCTCAACTTTTTTTGGTGACAGGAAGATTGCTGTAAGAATTTCTCTCTCATCCTTCTTCCCTTGCTGCTTGTCGTCAACCCCAATGTTGTAGTTCACAAACTCCTACTTGTACTGATTACAGCTATTTATAGGATGACACTACAAATCAGATTGGTAAAATGATTGTGCTGAAATCTCCTTTTTATTTTATTTTTCTCCCATTCAATCTAGATCATTCCACTGATCTTGTTTACAGTGTAATACTATGAACAATTGGCACAATCTGGAGTTTGAAAAACTGTGGGAACTTCTTAAGTGGTTTTACTGCTGAACAAAAATATACTGTGGAGCTACACCTTAGATTGTTAAAGTAAAGAGGAGGTGTTGTTACCTATTAGACATACTGGGTGCACATTATGCTGTGGGTTTTTTTTTCCCCAGTCTTGATACTCCCTCCCTCATAAAATATTGAAATTAGTTGGTTCACAGTTCTGTCATACTTAATAGCAGCTGTATATTTCAGTATAAGAATGAATATAAATACAAACCTGTGTAACAACAACTACTACAGCAATGCCAGTAGATGCTGGAGTGGAATCCCATTGAAGAGGTCTGCTATGAGATTTCTTCATTCTGCCTATTGTCCAACCCATGCACAGACTCAACAATAAATACAGCATTTGTATCTGAGAGACTATGTCACACACTATTGAAAACAAAAGGAAAATATATAGGGTCACAACAACTACAACAACAAAGTATTTTTTTTCTACAGCAAAGAGAAACATTCCATATATCTGCAAATAAAGAATGGACATTTATGCCTTGGTATCACCTTTATTCACGATTTTCACAAACAGTTTGACTAGCTGAAGTCGCTTTGCTAGAAAATCTGGATTTTTTGTACCATTTTTAAATGACTAAAGCTTTCCTCTCCTTATGTTGCAATTCTGCAATGACATGGGCAGTGCGCCACATCCTTCCAAATCCCACTCCTGTTGTGTCAAAGAAGTCTAGGCTCAGGAGTCCACCTGCATAAATAGACTTATAAATGCCACATGACTAAAGTCATATGTATGTTAATCACACTGCAAATATGAAACATGATGAAATGAACTCCTTTCTTCATTCCACAAAACTTTTGTTCAAAAATCAGACAGTGGCATTGTACTTTAAATTAACTGCGTTTTGTCTTAAGGATAGAGTAGCTTGCAGTAGAAAGCACATTTAGGACAAATTCCACACTCAGATACTTAAAGGGGAAGACGTAATGACTAACCCTAGCACAAACTTCACTTGGAGCAATAATCTGTCTGTATTTCATTTCATTAAATGCAAACTCCCTTTGCCTCGTTTCACTGTGTCCATTCTTTTGGCTCTGTTTGGGAACAATTAACACGTACTCCATGAAGTTACATTCTTAATCAGCGTCTCAAACTTGTGTTTGAAGCTGTATCCGAATAAAGAACACTTTAAGCTAGAATATATTAAAATCTTTATTTTTCAACCCTGCTGAAATACTACTGACATTAGAAAGAACTGAACATTTCTTCTGGGGTGTTGCTAGCTTTAGAGTCAAGTTTCTGACTGAAGCTTATTGAAAGATTTTATAGTTAGTGCATGGACTTGAGTGTACAGTGAGTACAGGCTCACTGTACTAATGCAGCAGAGATGTATAAGCAGCTTGAGAAATTAGTTCTTACATTATGTAAATTTCAAATTTGTTACAGAAATTAGAGATGGGCACTACACACTTTTTTTGTTCACTTGATTAATATTTTAGTTCATTTAAATTTGTTCTGTATTTGATGTTTCCCCTAACATTATCAGATATAAGAAAAATATTTCTGTATCACAAAAGTAGAACTTCTATGAAACAAGTGGAATGTATTAACAAATCAATATACTTTCACATTTACTAGAAATACTGCAATACAAAATGCTGCTCCTGTACAGAAATTAATATACACACAAGGGATGTGTGTCAAATGAAGATCAGCTACTGTATTTCCCTGATGGTCAGCAGTGCTAGCAAAATATGGATATAAAACAAATTTAAACATACTACTCATGGGATACATTTAGTATTCTCATGCTTTATATAGTTACATACTTCTAACATATTCAGGCACCTTTGTCATTTAGGAAATGTCAAGAGCTTTTAGTAAATACAAACTTTAATAAAATGAACTGGCATGGTTCTGTGACAAAATGATCTTGGAATTATTTTACAGTGCTAGCTATGGAGACGTAGAACTCCGTGGAAAAAAAAAACAACTGTTCTGCGAGCTCAAGGCATGCCAAACCAGCATCGCAAATCCAAGCTACAGAAGTGACTGAACGAATCTGGATACTCTAGAGAGAATTCAACCATTCATTTTATTTTCTGTCACTCCTTAAGATAACCTCCTTGTAAGTTATAGCCAGACGTCATCTCTCAGTCACATCTTGGATACAGACATTGCTCTGCTTAAGCGTGGCAACAAAGCAAGTGGATTCCCAGACAAAACGGTGTAACACAAATTTTCAGTACTGTTTTTAGTCTTTGGTACCACTTACATCTTGCTTAAAAGCAAGAAGAATGCTTTACGGTTGAGCAAAATTTTGAAAATAACAATTGTATGATATCCAGGATCGATATAAGGCCACATGCTACTGAACTGATTTTACCATATATATAATATATATATACATATATACTTATATATATATTTATATATACACACTTATAAAGCACCTATCACCATATTGATAAACACTCTTTGGAACCACTCGGATGGCAGAGGTTGAATAGGGCTTGGTCTGAACATCTTTTTCAGCTGTTCAGCAGATATATTATTATTTGACTTTTCACGTTTTGATCTTATCAAATAGTGATGCTTAACTATTTGAGATGTTTTAGTATGCCAGAACTATTCATGTGATTTATGTGATTATATGATTGACTTAGGTGATAAATTTGACTTCGTGTCAGGTTTTCATACATGGAAAAGACAAAATAATGGTAGAAAAAGAATAATTGCTCAATGTAGTAGCTGGACAGGTTTCCAGAACAAATTCTGGCCCCACTGAAGTTAACGAAAATTTTATAATTTATCTAGGATTTCTGATCCTATGCAGGAAAAATGGTAGCAGTTTCCACTTCCATGACTATACTTGCTATCAGCTGTCCTTCAGAGCTGCAATTGACACTGAAGCTTTCCACATTTCCTTCTGCTTTCTTGCTGTTTAGGGAACCACAGATTTTAAAAACAGTGGGAAACTCTTTTAGCTGAACCACTCAAATTCAGATAGTGATTCGAAAATACTAATTTATTCTTAGTAACCTCCGTTTTAAGCAAATAATAGTGTGGTTTTCACCACAATATGTACACAGAAAATCTAAGATGCTGCTATTTTCTCTGAAGTTCTGGTTGTGCAGTTAACACTAGATTTTTCAGCAGGGAGGAGTTATGACTACCTCCATGTTCTCCACTTAATTTCATTTCAGAAGATCAGAAGACAAGAGGGAAAATTTATTAACACAGTTGCTGGAAAGGCTGCAAAGACTCGCTAACTCAAATGTTTAAAACAAGGAGGAGTGTCAATTACTGTGGTGCCAAGTGCCATCAAGAGGCTGTTAATTCCAACTGCAAGTTTCTGAACGAACTCTATGAAGGGAAATATTTTTCTATGTAGGTTGCTACTCTATAATGCTATTGCACTATCATAGTACTACTTTCTTGAGGTGCTTCAAAAGCCCAATCAAAAGGGCAATATATTAGCTTAGAAAAGATCATCCATTGCCTCAAATGTAAATTACGTGGAAGAGGGAAAAAAAAAAAAAAAAAGCAACAAAGCAACATTAGATCCTGAAGAATCCAGTAAGAATAAACTAGTGCATTTTGGCATTTTATGTATGGGTGTTATAAGAATTCCATTCCAATGAGAGCTAAGAATATCCATTCAGAGTGGAGAAGAATACTTTGGTAACATCAATTTTTAACATAATCATTTTTGCATCACTCTAATCTTATCACTTGTGCTGTAAAATACTTTTTTCATTATAGTCTACATTAAATTTGCTAATCAAATGACACACTCCTTAAAATTTGATTAAGTTTTCCAAAATGCTTCAGCACTCTAGATCATCCTAAGTCCACAAAACTCTTTGACATATTCAAAGTTTTACTCACGGGATAGGTATGTATTTAAGTACTTGTAGGATGGAATGTTAAAACAACAAAATCCTTTTAAAAATCCTAAACAACGTTACAGTTAGAGAGCTTTAAATACAGTTACTGTAAGCATCCAGATTAAATCCTGTTTTTCAGAAGAGCAACTTATAGTATTTCATGTTAAAAATCCAGTGACATGGTACATGACAGTACAGTCCAACAAGATCATTCATTAGTGCATTACACAGATTAACAGGTAGGAGTACATAAAAACAGCAGAGGCATACTCACATTCTGCCAGAGTTCCCATAAAAGGTACTCCTATTCCATCCTTGGAATAACTGATAAAAGAATAGAAGACGATCTTTTTAAGTGAGTCTTAAATTTGTGTTTTCCCTGATAAGTACATTTAGACAATGATATAGTTCTAAAAAGTTAGTCTCCTATGTTTTATCACAATCAGCACATGAAAGACCATGTACTGATCTTCAAAATAGCATGTCCTTCTAGTCTTAAGGTTGAAAGCAAATATAAGCAGAGATACCTTGAGAAATGGAGGTAGTTGGCAAAAGCTGAACCAGCCTGCAACAATAATGCAGTTGACAGCACCTTTAATACAGTATGCATAGGTCCACGCTTCTTAATTGTTTGCCATAGGGACTGTGCATATATGCAAGCAGTTAAGAAGTATGCTAGAACAAGCAGGAAAAAGAATTCATGTAATCCTGTGGGATAAAAAAATAGAAAATAAAGTTAGTTTTTACAAAGAAAGTCTATTACTAGCAGTAAATAACTAAAAGCAAGATTGTTATTTATATAATCACTAGGGATTACTACGCAATCATCAAGCAAAGGTGATAGTAAAGAGCAAATATAGCCTATTTTATCCAAGAGAGTCAGTGACTTCTTCAGACAGCTGACTATCATTAGACCTGACAAAGAATTTTTTATTCAACAATACCTTTTCTGAGTGTAGGAGAGATTCTGTTCAAATACAGGTTGACATACAGCTTCTTGATAAACAGAAAATAATTTTAGCCCATTTGATTTGACACATTTATTAAATGACTCATTTTTAGCTATTTTTTTTTGCTTTACTTTTTGAAGTCACAATCTGAGATTAGAGAAACCCAGGACTGTTCTATCTACTTAACCACTGGGTGTCACTCTTCCTCCACATAAAACAGCTATTCCAAGAAACAATCTTGACCAAGATTGACAACTTAGAAAAATAGCACAGGGAAAATGGACTTTTTTTTTTTGCACCAATCTAAAAAAAAAGTGCAAAGTTTTTGATATTTACAAAACAAAAGTAGTCTGATTTTCAGTCTAGCAGGATTTTGCTAAGATGCTTCCCTGAAAACCTGGATCCTGATTTTTTTTTTTTTCTGTTGTCTTGAAACAGAAAAGCTACCAGAGGGTCAAAAAGCAAAAATCACTGAAAACTTTTGTTTTCCTTCTCCAGTCTTCTTTGAAGATACGCGGTGCTCACAGAATCAAACTTTGTTTCCGGCAAAACAACTCTGCTAAAAACTTACAATCAGCTCTAAAGCTGAAAGCAAAAGAGAAACTGTGGATGATTGGCTTGACAGCAAAAGTATTTGAGAGAAACCTGCACTGAAATATAACTAAAAAAAAAAAACCACAAAAACAAACAAAAAAAATGATTTTTTTTTTAATAGTTTCCTGACTTCTAAATCACCTAGAGTTAGGGAGAGACTCTTGGGGACATGAGCATGTTTTATTGGAGGGTTTGGTTAATTACTTCTGGAGTAAGACATTTTCTTCAGAAAAGTTAACAAAGTTAAAAAAAGAAACGTAACTGCAAAAATGATTATATCGGTAGGGTATTGGACATTGTCTTCGATACCTCTGCTTTTTACATTTTTTTTAGATTCCAGGGTAGATTTAGATTAGACATCAGGAAGATACTCTTCACTATGGTTGTGATGAGGCCCTGGCACAGGCTGCCCAGAGAAGCTGTGGGTGCCCCATCCTTGGAGGTGTTCAGGGCCAGGCTGGATGGGCCTTTGGGCAGCCTGGGCTGGTGGGAGGTGTCCCTGCCCATGGCAGGGGGGTTGGAAATAGATCTTTAAGGTTCAACCCAAACGATTCTGGGATTCTATGATATAGAAAATAAAACATATGTATGTTAATTTCAAGTACCTAACTTTGAAATTCTGTTTACCTGGCCATCTGCCTTTAGAAATGCTACGTCTTATGTAAACGCTATGTCTTATGTAAAAAACCCTACTACATAAAACAATAAAACACTACCTAACCTAGGGACTGGAAACAAGGTCTCCTTCACTCTCAAGGCAAATATCCTAATCAGAAGGTTACAGTTTCAAGGTCTTTACTACACTTTCCTTATAGTCCACTTCATTTTTGAGAACTCTTCATGGCAAGGGCACAACTTTACTAACTTAAATGAAAGGTGACCTACCGGAACCATCTGCAATTACACAGTTTTTAGTCCCCTCAAGGAAAAAACAAACAAACAAACAAAAAAAAACACAACAAAACAAAATCCACAAAGAAATGAACCTGGATCTCTTCTTGACATGCTACTGTTCTAAGCTGCATACCTTAAGGGGAAAAAGGACAAAAATTATTCCCTAGAGATGCATAAGAGAGAGAGAGAGAGAAGAAATCCTTCTCAGTTCTTTGAAAAGTAGACATAGGGCAAGTCTTTTCAGGATTCATAACAGTGTGGCTGGTTTTCATTCTGAAATAACAAAGGTATTCATTTGCAACCATGGAAGACATGGCATGTACATCTCAACTTATTTCCTTCACGGTGGCTCTAAATACCTGCACCTGACTCACTTCCACAGGATCACACAATGGCTGAGGCTGGAAAGGACCTCTGGAGATCCTCTGGTCTAACCCCCTGCCAGGCGATTAACAGTGCTACTTCCTTACAGATTGCTCTAAATGTTTTAGTGTGAAGATTTTCCTCCCTTCCGAAAGGAAGCTGCCGTTGTTCCCTCTACATTCTCCTGAGACTAAGAATGACAACAGAGCATACAATTTTCAGCACTACAGTTAGGCTAGATCTGGGTACGTAGGCTACATCTGTATATGAAGACAGACTAAGCATATTCTTCCCATTCAACAGACTAAGTCAGTGTCATGTGGCATAGGCCTCCCAGAGCAGCAAAGCTATGCACTGTGATGAAGCACACACTGGGTTGATTTGAACGACCGAATTGTCATAAAAATTGATATACGCATTTCTTCATCTGCTTGTCTTGAGTCACTTCTAGAAGTTTTTCTTTTCTTTGCAGGTGTAGAGATTTGAAATTGCATTTCAATAAAAACTGTGGACTGCCAATCATCTCATCCAGTCTGCAGCCCGTGCATAATGTACTTGGAAAGACCCAGACAGTGAACTGAAGTTGTACTAGCAAAGTGTTTATGTCATGCATGAACTCATTGCAGAGAATCAAATTTTACAAATTTCAGCTAAGGAATTCCACAAATTAAACAAATTCATTAAAATCTGTTTACAACCAAGGTGAAGCTTACAATTTCAACAGGGAAAAAAACACTATCAGCAAAGATACACACAATCTTTCCTTGTTTACTACAGTCGCAATTAGGCAAGTTTTGGCAAGTCACTCTAGAGAAAGGGAAGGATTTTTCTGTAATGCCAGGAGATGAATCAAAGTTTACTCTTCTTTGAGAAAGTCAAATTCAAAGTAAGAGACTGCTATTCATCCCCCAGTGTCATGTTTTTGCAAGCACAGTAGGTACCGATTGGCTTGGCTGATTAGATCCTTAACTTATTAATCTAATTTTAAGAAAAAAAATCTTACCAGATTCCCCTGCGCTAAAGTGATCTAATGGATTCCCTTCTGCATCTGGATTTAGTAAGACCATTTCAAACTGAATATCCTCGGTTTCAGAATAATTCTCTTCGCAGGTAAACTTGTCTACATAAAACACATACCATGTTTCCGGATAAGGAATCTGGGACACTGTCAGATTTTGCTCTGTGTGGTTCACAGTCACTTTGGAAGAAAACAAACAAACAAAATGAGTAGATAACTTGTTTAACTTGCTTTTAGAAAACCCATCTTTGAATAAAGATAAAATTTAAATATACATCATCATTTACAGATTATAAACTACAAACACTATAAAACAGTCTTTGTTTTGAAAGCAAACCACAACACCCGAGAGCAGACTTCCATCCTCAACTGAGGTTTCAAGTAGGTGCAGCCAGGCGTTGGTGAGGATGCGCACCATATTCCTTTTCTCAGCTTTTGGGTTTGGTTTGCTGGGGCGGCTCCATTCCACCAGAAGCCACTAACTGCAAATAGTGCACACCATGTTTAATGTACTTCCATCCTCTTGCACAGTATCACTGGGACTCTAGCTATTCTGTTTTGCCAACAGACACTCATTCAGTATGAAAATTACATTTGAAAATTGAATAGAGTAAATTTCACAAAGACATTTAGAGCATAGAACAGGTACAGCCACATGCAAAATTTGCCAAATTGGTGTGCATGCCTTCCAGGTACATATTTTACAGCATCTTCCCCAAAATGACATAGACAATTTCAATTGACACTCAACTATTGAGACCATTGTCTGGAAAAAAAAAAAAAAAAAGTATATTTCAAATCAATTGTGTTTAAAACCAGATATGTAGGACTGAAGAGTTTCATCTTATTTCTGATATTACCACTATTTTTCCTAAGGGCAACTGTTAACCAATACACAATCTCTCCAAAGTAAACATTTGCTGCAAATGAAGTTTGTGGCCCTGTACATCAAGAACTGTACACTGATTACTGAATTAATTAATCAGTGTAACAGTGATCATTGCTGATCAGCTTAACCATAAATGAAAGCCATTTCTGGAGAAGAAATAATAAAATAATTACTGGACTGCTGATGAATTCATTTGAATAGTTTATAAGATGACAGTGGCTAAGGACAAGGAAAGAGAAAAAGTTTGTAAGGATTCTTCAAAACAAGTTGCTTTTATGCAAAGTTTTTTCTATAAGAAAAAGCTGCAAACATATACACAAAACAATCCTTAGCAAACTCATTATCCTTAAACCTTTTTTGACGAAATTTAGAACTAGTTTCTAACCTGAAGCCTACCTGTGAAAAACATTCATGCAATTTAAGTAAACTTGTTTCGAGTTCAAGGAGTTATTTTCTATTCTTTGAAAGCATGAACTCATGATCAACAGTTGGATCCAGCAAGAAACATATGACGTGTCCCTCTGCAGCAATTGTCATGAAATACTAATTTGGACAACACATGAAGCAGACCCCAAAAAAAAAATTCTGAAAAAAGCAGTTGCTTTGTGGAACACGTGCTCAAAATTGGGTACATTTCAGAGCTGTGTATCTTATTAAGCAAATATACAAAGTGAAGCAGCTCCCTTCAAAACTTACAACCTTTGTAAAAAGGCAAATTAAGGATTTAATACGCTGCTTAATTAAAAAGCAAGTTAGATGGCAGTTTACAAGGGGGGCTCTACTCTCCAGCTGTACTCTCAGCTGAGATGTGGTATAGCCTTATTTGCATCATGACTAGAGATTACACAGCACGTTTAATCAGTTTTCCATCAAATCTGCAAGCTAACTCACGGGATATGAAGTAAGCCAAAATAAAAATGTAATTGATTTTGCCCAAGATCAGCAAACAGATCCAACTCACCCTGTGGTCATGTGATTCCTACACACAGTAGAAAACAGCGAATACATTGCGACAGGAGTGAAGGACCAAATGCTGGTCTTTTCAGCAGCACTTCATGCTTAGCTCAGCTCAAGTGTAAGGGAACTACATCCTTAGAAGTGTCATCTGTATAAGATTTCGTAATGGCAATGCTCCAGGACATCAATTAGTTACTCTAGGGATTCTGGCTGCACAGAGGAAATATATTTAAAAGAGAAGCTGCATTCACTTAAGATTATTAAATTTTATTTCTCAAAGGAAAAGTCATGCTTTACATTGGCTTTGTAATATTAGGATCAACAAATGGTGCAAAAATTGTTTTTGTATGTTTGTGCTCCAGTTACTTAAAGGAAAACTTCAGCATTTCACTTCCTTGTACATTTAGGCAGGTCCTCAAATTAAGCATTATCCTGATTAGCACATATTTAATACTAAAATGTGTCTAACGTTTTGTACATCAAAGTTTGAGAGTTTGTGCTATCACATAAATGAAAATACTTTAATTTGTTTTCTTGTCTTTGAAAATCCTAATTTTCCATGGAATTGAGAACAGTAGCCTCCTGACAAAGAAGAGGTGTTCCTCAATAAATAAAAGACAAGAGGCTAATCTACACACTCTGTACTGGTATAATTATAAATCCCAGTATTTATAACATCTAAATGGGAAAATCAGTGATGAACATCAAATTACAAAATTGAAAAGTGAAAGAACATTAAATGATGATATAGGCAAGTTGTAAAATTAGGCAGCATTACTCAGACAAATGAATTTTTCAAGATGACCTTACAGATAGAAATGAAATGAAAAGTAATGATCATGATGTTGTGCAAGGGGAAGAAGAAAAAAAAAAGAACAGAGGGAAAAGGTTTTACTCTTTTACAGTGCATTTGGGCTATATACTTCCATCTTACAAGAATTCACTTCAGAGTTTTAGCAGGCTTCACTGGTTTGCCTTTAAGGTGTTTTTTTTTTTTCATTCTACTGCAAGGAAAGTGATAATTCTAACTGCATATCTGACTGTCTCAACAATTTACATATTCTAACTACTTCAGTTTCATCTTACTACAGTATTCTTTGCACATTTTTAACACTCATTTTTAAGGAAAAGTTTGAGGTTTATAAAAAAAGAAAAAAAGACTTTTACTCCAAGTGGAATTATAGGAAGTCTCTGTATTGAATGAAAACTTCAACTGAACGTGGATTTTTGAGTTGTGTGCAAATGGGAGCACCAGACTAGAACTTGGAAGTTCAGCTGTTTGCACTGAAGTCATTGTTTGTCAAGGACTGTTCGTTTTCCACTGATATACTAAATCACAACTTGCAAGCAAAGTCTTCTGAAGTGATGCAGACAAAGCAACTGCATTCCTTGTATCCATTTTTAATTACAGGAGGTTGAAGTCCTGCTTTTGCTTAAGTTGATGCAAAGTCCAAATTCACTGAAACACTGGGGTTCTACATACACACAACTTAATTCATAAGGAGAGGAAAGCAGTAACTCACTTGTCAGTTGAGCTTTATAGAATTTCTCTGTACAGCTGTGATCTTGGATACTGTTCTGCAGCTTCAGCCATTCCTGTGCTTGAAACAGGTGAAGTCTAGCTTCTTTTGTCACAGCTACTGCTACGTTGTTGATTCTGACACACAGAACAGCATGGTCACCTTGATATTTAAAAAATAAAATCAACTACTCTGCCTTGATGACAGTTATGCAAACAAAAAGCTAACACAGCAGAGATTTTTAAAAAGTAACACCTCTTTAAAAAGCTTCACTTTATTTCTAAAACTTTTACCACTACTTTCTATAAACATCTGTATACTTTCACAAACGAATTCTAGTAATCTCAGTAGTACAATATTGCATGCACAATTCTCTAGTATGGTACCTACACAAGCTTTCAACACAAGCCAGATGTCATTAACCTCCACTTCAAACAGCCTCCCCCCACTTTTTTTTTTTGATTTCCAGATAATCTTTTTTTTTTCCTTCATCCCATCTCTATTTTTATACACTTCCATGGCACTATTACAAGCATCATAGAGTAGCTCTCAAGTCTGATACCTAAAGAACTGGACTAAGTGGATCTTCATGTTATTGACTGATTAGAGCTAAAACACTTGATTATCAGACAAATTGATAGAAACATACTCACAAAGAAAACCAGACTTCAAGAGTGCTCTCTACTGTGTCAGTCTACAGGTAGACTGACACATCTTGGCATAGTGAAATAATTTAGCCATTTCAGAACTAGCCCATTTGCCGTAACTTATTTTGTCTGTCACTTCTATGATCCTCAAAATTATTGAGAAATTCTTTCATTATATAGTGCTATGGACTTCTTTAACATAACAGTATTCAAAATAAAAATACAGGACTTAACAGAGAAGAAAAAAATCAGCACTGCAAGAGTCCAAATTTACTTCAATGTAAGCAAGTTTGGTATGTCTTTTAAACTGTCAGAGCAACCTTCTTTCCCACCTAACCTAGGCAGCAGCTGGATGCGCAGCTTTAAATAAGCTCTGCCAGGAAGGTTTACCTATTAAGAGCAAATAACAGTTCTACAATAAATCCCCCCAAAAGGTTATCTCCTGGGATCTGTAAAATGTTACATGGCTAACAGTTTACCTAAGTTGCTAATAAAAGACTTTGAAAAACAGCAGGTTCTATAAAATCCCTCATGGCTTCACTGAGATCTCCCAGAAGGTATAGTTGTAAATATCCATACAGAAGTAGGAATATTTCTAAGGAAGGATGTAACATCAACCTGCATAATAAAGTATAACTGAACACTTAGAGCCCTCATCCTGAATCTTAATTGTGCCCCTCTGCTCTGCCCTTGTGAGGCCCCACCTGGAGTGCTACATTCAGGTCTGGGGCCCCCAGCACAAGAAGGATGTGGGGCTGGTAGAGTGGGTTCAGAGGAGGGTTACAGAGATGATCAGAGGGCTGGAGCACCTCTCCTATGGAGAAAGGCTGAGAGAGCTGGGGATGTTCAGCCTGCAGAAGAGAAGGCTCTGGGGGACCTCATTACAACCTTTCAGTAGTTGAAGGGGACTTATAAAAAGGATGGAGAGCAACTATTTACTCAATCAGATATTGACAGGATGAGGGGGAATGGTTTTAAACTAGAAGATGGGAGACTTAGATTTGCAGTTAGGAAGAAAATTGTCACTGTGAGGGTGGTGAGGCCCTGGCACAGGCTGCCCAGAGAAGCTGTGGGTGCCCCATCCCTGGAGGTGCTCAAGGCCAGGCTGGATGGGGCTGTGGGCAGCCTGGGCTGGGGGGAGGTGTCCCTGCCCATGGCAGGGGGTGGGACTGGGTGATCTTTAAGGTCCCTTCCAACTGAGACCATTCTGTGATTTTCTCAGATTTAAGCATGGCATTTTTTCTTCTGATCTATTTATAGCGCTCCTACGTTTATCTCCCGGGACGCTGATACCGAAGCGCTCTCAGGCCGCCCCGCGGGCAGTCCCCACCCCTCCTGCGCCTCTCCCCTCGCTCAGCGTTGAAAGGTCGCGCCGCAGCCCTCCCCGCTCCTTATTGCCCCTCACCCCAGCGGCCTTCCTCCCCCACAGCCCCTCCAGCTTGGGGTCTGCCCGTAACCCCCACAAATCCCGGCAGCTTCCCGAGCAGCCCCCAAAACCCCTTCATCGCCAAGCGACGGGCAGAAAAGCTCCCGAAGCCACCACAACGCCCCGCGACGTGGACCGCCCCAACGGCCCTAACGCTCCTAACGGCCCTAACGGCCGCTCGCCTACCGACGTGGCGCCGCCCCCCCCACCCCCCGGGGCCCCAACCCAACGCCCTCAGCGGCTCCTACCGTGGAACTGGAAGCGCGCCAGGGGCCGCCAGGGCTGCAGGCGGGCGGCGGCGCTGACGAAGCCGCCCCGCAGCGTCTTGCCCCAGGCGCAGCCCCAGCAGCAGGCGCACAGCGCCCACAGCAGCCGCCACCGCATCGCACCGGCCCCTCACGTCACCTCCCTCCCGCCCCCCCCACAACCACCGCCGAGCGGCCGCACCCTCCCTCCCGCTCCTCCTCCGTCCCCGCCCTGCCGCCTTACTGGCCGCGCCCCTCCGGGTTCCCCCCGTTTCCTACGTGGCCGTTGCCTGGTTCAGCCGTAAAGCAGCGCAGCGTCGTAAAAAAAAAAGTGGCTGGTGATAGGGGTGAGCCGTGTCGCGCCGCCGCCGTAAAGCGCGGGCGATGTCGGGGCAGCTGCCGGTGGCGGCGGCGCCGCGCTTCGAGAAGCGGCTGCTGGTGACGGGCGGAGCCGGCTTCATGTGAGGGGGGCGGCTGGGGGGGATGATTACAACAAAATAGCACCCAAACACACCGCTTCGTGCACCCAGGGGAGGTGGCAGCGGGTTGGGAAGGCGGTATAGGGGGTTGGGAGTTGGCTTTGTAGCTTAGAGAAGTCGAGTAATGGGCTCTGCCTAGTACCAAGGCTGTGTTCTAATATATACGTACATATTTTACATATACATGCATATATAAATATATGTAGCATGTCCCTAATGTATAAACTTAAGGGTATAAACTTCTAGAATGCTAATTGGCTGTAGTGTATAATGCTTCTTTTTTAATAAAAACAAAACACCTCTTTTTTTTTTTTTTCTTGTTACAGCACAGACTTTTAGTCCTGTTTTTATTTATCAGTGTGTAGCAACTGAAATACTGACGTTGCCACGTCTTAAAATCCCGCAGTGAGGTGCTCTTCCTCCTGTCTGTACAGCTCCTTCTTTCCCCCCATAGCCTTCTGGTGTTGCTAAACTGACTTTTGGTGTTACTTGACTGACAGCGCTTGATATCGATTTGTCAATTGGTATTGATTTGTCATCGCTTTGTTGCATTAAAGCCAACAATGTAGTTGTAAAATCCGCTTTTCTTCTCTCATCCTGTAGTGCTTCACACGTAGTCGTGTCCCTCGTCAAGAACTATCCAAACTATCTGATTATAAACCTAGATAAGGTAAGTGGGTTGTCTTTCTTACTAAGGAATACCATTTTAAAAGATTCTTAACATAAACTACAGTGTGTTGAAATTTACTTGAAATACTATTATTTGCTAAATTTCTGTTTCACTCTCCCTTTGTTCCTGAGCAAAAACAATTTAACTGCTGCTCGTTTTTACAGTTCTGTGCCTGCTACAAATAATTATGTATTGATTATAATTTGTGTAAAGAAGAAACTTCCGAAGTTAGGGATGTCTGCCTAATAAGTTTTACAATCTAAGGATATCTTTCAGACTTCTGTATTTTCTTGTATTTCATAATACTTGCTTGCAAAATAGCTTTTCTTTTGAAAGTAGTTTTTACTTTAATCTTCAATTTTCTAGTAATTGGGTTGGAGCTTAATTGGCTTGCTTGCTTTTTTGAAGACTATTTGTTGATATTCTGTGGGTATTTCTTTTTAGCTCGACTACTGTGCAAGTTTGAAGAATCTTGAAACTGTCTCAGAGAAGGAAAACTACAAGTTTATCCAGGTGACAAAGCCTTCTTTTTCTTTTATAGGGAACTTCACTTTGTGTGTGTGTGTGTTTGTATCACGGTAATGTAGTCTCCAGAGCTCCTCAAAACCTAGGGATAAAACCACTGTTTCACCATAAATGAAATTTGAGATTATTTTTACTAATTTCCAAACACCAATTTATTTTCTACAAGAATATGCCAGTGTGCTTTACACTCAGCTTGACACAACAGCAGTAACTGGAGTTCAGTACCTTTATTAGTAGAATCCATGTCTCACCCAGAGAAGTCTGTGACAGTATGTGGTTGTGTGACAGTGTGATCTGCCTCTTACTTGAAGCAGTCTTTTGAAAATTGGTATATTTTATTGTATAATAAAGGTTCATGGTTGGTAAAAGCCTGAGTATGGAGATAACTGGCTTTAGGAATGATTCATTTACTTATAAGACTACTTGTGATAAATGGTGTGGACAAGATAGCCTTTGATTTGGCTCCTTCATGCTTAGACTCTCTCTTAAGTTCTGCACCTTCAAACACCACAGCTCCTTATATTCCATGGTGTGCATTGTCCTCTTTCTTGTTCTGTTCGTGCTAGGAATCAGGCTACATTCTTCCTTTTACTGCTGTTGATGTTGTGTGTACTTCTGTAGTTGTTTTGGAACAGGGTCTAGATTCAAAGTATGTCTTTGCTTTCTAAAATGTTGATGGTTACATCAGTTTACTGTTCCAACAGTTTAGGCTTCAGACAGGAGACAGATTTAGATTTATTGTTCGGATAAATATTCAGACTGCTAGGTTTGTATGCAGAAGTTCTTTTTCTGCCTGTAAGTCAGTGCTGATGCTGGCCTGTTTGTTGAGCTAGGCTGCCTGAAATTGCAGGACATCAGAGAAAAGCCCATAGATTTAATTCCCTGAAATAGCAGCTATCTACTAAATTGGCACAACTATTTCAGAGGTAAAAGATGTAAACTCAACTTACTGCTTAGATTCAGGCAAGGTTGGGAAATTAACTTTTCCACATGTCTGGTTACCCCAGTGCCTGTTTTTGTAAACCTCTCTTTATTTTCATAAATATTTATCCCTGAGCTGCTAGATAAAATTTGCTTGAGAGGTAAGAGGATGTGTGCTAAGTGAATGTACTCAGTTTCAGGATGCACAAACTGTTCTGTTGTTATTTTTCTTATTGTTTTTGACACCTTTCAGTATATGATGTGATATATACGAATGCTAAATAAAGGCCTTGTTACCTGCATACATACTGGTGCTTAGTTACCAGTACACGGAGTTCTAGAAGGCATCTTGTAAACCAAGCAGGAGGATGGTAAATGCTGCTTCTGAACAAGAGAGGGAATACATTTTCACAAAACTTACTGTGAGAATAATTCATTCCAGCTATTCCAGTTGGGATTTAGTGTGGTATTTTCCTCTCTCTTTTGCTTATTTATTTATTTCTTTATTTTGAAAGAAGGTTGGCTAGAACTGAGATGCAGATGGCAAGGTATTTACTCTGACAAGAAAAAATGCACTGAGAAAACACTCCCTAAGGGTCAAGGCCTTAGAGTTGTGATGCTACTGCTGGCCTTCAGAGGGAGCAGGAAGGATAAATGCTGTAGAAAAGTTCTTTGTTTTAGAAGGTAGAGAAGTAAAAGCTTAGAGATCTCCATAAGGGGCAGTATGAAAGGTACTGTAGTACTTCCAACAGTTTTAATTGCGATTTATGTTCTTGCTCAGCACAGTGCCCTTCAATGCATACTACAGGAAGGCATACTTTGTTAAAGGTTGAGGTTTATTTCTGTAATTGTACATTTTTTTGACAATGGGGAGGTCTGTGTAAACACAAGTTACTTTTAAAAAGCTTTCTTAAAGTACCTTGAGATTCTTAATAATCTTAAGTCTGAGGCAAAGTCTACATCTGACAGTATTTTTAGAAGAAACATACCAATTTGAGTGATCTTATTGAAAGCAATCTTAAAAGAAAAAGAAATATTTAATTTTGAATTTCAGTTAAAAAAAAAAAAAAAGGTAACTAATTCTAGCCATATTAATTAAAATAGTATATGGGTCTGAAGTATTTCCTGGAGTGTTTCATTGGTGTTCAGGGATGAGATACGGGAAAATCCGTAGATCTTCCTTCTGTTTCTGACATACAGTACTTCTTTGAGGCTGTTGTTCAGAATCATTGCTTGAGAACTTCTTAAGAGGTAGGTGAATTTGAACTATGTTCAGTTAATTGCCTTGTTCTTGAAAATACATAAGTCTTCCTCCCCGTGACACAGCTTTTGAAGTACTGTCTTGTTTAAGTTGAGGCAATAGATGATTATCAAAAGCTACTTCTCAGCTTGTATTTACCTTTGAAAGTTGCTGTTGATTGTGTGTCGGACTAACAAATGGCTTGTGTGTTGATGCCAGACTCTTTTCCAAATCCATCAATTTTTCTGGTAATAAAAAAAAATACCCTTGGAAGACATCCATCTATTTTGACAACAGTGGGGATGAACTTCACCTCTTATAATGCCACTAGGTGTCACTGTCTGCCAGCCAGACTCCAATAACGTTCCTGTTTGCTGTAGGCACTTGTTCTGACCTTAGCTTTCAAGTTACACGTTATACTTCTGTTGTGTATATTCTGGGGGTGATATTGTTTATGTTAAACAGTAATATAAAACCTGAAACGAGGTACCTGTTGTTGAGGCGGCTGCTCAAAAAGCAATACAGAGTTGGTATTTTGCCCCAAACTCAGTTGGTAGCTGTATTTGTATCTGTGAAAAACTAAAAGAAAGCATCTTATATCTAAAACTCTAGATATTCATATCTTGTTTGCTCTTCAAAGACATAAGTTCCTCTTTTGACTGGACAGTCTTAGTTTTCTGTTATTGCTATTAAAGAAAAAAATGAGTAATACTGTGGTTCTGATATAAGATAAATGCTTTGGCTTTGCAAGCGTGTACTTACTGCAAAACTTTCTCCTGTGCCTCCTGTATAATGGTTTGTTTATGATGCTTGAATCAAATTACAGCATATTTGTTATTTAAAGAAAAAAAACACTTTTTTTTTTTTTTTTTTTTTTACTGTTCAGGGGGATATTTGTGAACCTCATTTTATAAAACAGCTTTTTGAAACTGAGAAGATTGACATAGTCCTTCATTTTGCAGCCCAAACTCATGTAGGTGAGTATTGTTGTATGTTTTGGTATTATTTTTGTGTGTATGTTTGTTTGAAATAGTATACTGATAATTTTCGTCTTTTTTTCCCCCATTCACTTAAAACCAGGATACAGTTTGATATCTTTACAGAATACATGATTGAAAGTCTGGCGGCCTTTTTGACTTAAGGAGTTCACAGCTTTAAGGCACTTCATTATTTTGATTGTGTATAAATGGAAATGTTTTTTATGTATAAAGATACTTTAAATTCTGTCTAGACATGTGTAACATACGCTGTAGTAGTGGAGTCATGAAGGTAATTTCACTTGATTGGCTGTAACGTTGCAGGGAAAACTAGAAAGTAGAAGTTAAAGAGTGAGCATTGCTCCC